ACCATCCCGGTTAAGGAATGACAGGTCTACGTTCTGGTCTACCCGCACGTGACATAATTGTGCATAGTTTGTATGTCATCTCGCTTCCAAAGGCCGATATTTCTCTGTCTGGGTTTGTCTAGCTTTGTATTGCTTGCCTGGCTTAGACTGGGTTAATTTCCCCCTGTGATCGGTGGGGAGAGAACTGACTGTTTTTGGAATGCTGGTTTGCGTTTTGCGTTTGTTTTTGCAAAATGTCATGGTAAGCAAGAGTCGCCACCGTCTTTTATTTTATCCAACTAGGAAAGGAAAAAAGCACGGAAAAATTCCTTTTTTGAGATGTTTCTCGGGTTCGGGAGGTAGATTATAGAAAGGGAAGGTGTTAGCACCCTTTCTATCCGTGGTTATCCACGGGCTCTTAGGTACTTTCTCAAAGTGTTTTAAAAATTTGCTTATCTTTGTGTTTGTGGGTTTGAAAGAAGTTTTTGTTTGAAAGGTGTAAGTGCGAAAAGTTTTGTTTTGTTTTTAAAAGAGAGCAAGTACTTAAGAACCATCTACCTACTCGAAAAGGGAATTAAACTGTGCTAATGTCCTTTAGACAATGCTAGCCCATTATTGATGAGTAGGTAGCACCGTCATTGAAGTTTTAAGGGTCAATTCGATTAAGGGACGTGTGGTCACTAAAGCAATGTTAGGACGCCTTAGCGGTAACCGTAATGTCTTAGATCATTTTATCTGAGGCAACCGTTTCGAGGAAACTATGATCTTTTGACAAGAGGGCGACCTCTAAAACTTCCTATACTCAATGACCACGTTCGAAGGCAACCAAGTGAGGAGTAACCTAAGAGTGCGCATGTGAGAGTGTGTTATTTCGGTTAATTTTATCTTTGTACATGTCATGGGTGAGCTATGTTGATTTTAAGTTTATACATTCGATCTTGTCATGCATTCCCTATTATCAAACATCTAACAGTGTAAAGTTGCGGTATTTAAATTTGCGGAAATTAAATCTAAACTATTACAAGGCGTCGGGTATTTACATCGCCAAAAACAAACCCTTTAATTTAAATTGCGGAAAGTAAAATAAAGCGATAAATAATTAAAGTCCTAATTAAAAGCTATTACATACCGGAAGCAATTACAATATTGGATAAAACGATACGCGTGCGAGAAATTAAATCGGGCGAATTTTTAGGGTTTTGACCCTTTTTGAAAGAAAGCATGTTTTTATTATTTTTTTGAATTAAATGGAAATTAAATTAGGTCAAAATTATTAGTTAATTAATAAAAATATATTTTTGGATTCTTTTATATTTAAGGAAATAAAATAGATTGGATTAATGTTAATAAAACCTAATATTCTAAATTGATTTTAAATATTGCAAAAATGTTAAAAGTTAACCTAATTAACACTAAATTAATTAATTTAATTTATTTACAAAAATAAAAGTGATGAATTAATTTAATAAAATAAAACATATTTTTGTGATTTTGAGTTTTATAAGGAAAATAAATTAATTGGTTAGTAATTAATAATTATTAGTTAAAACAATAAAACAAATAAATAAATATAATAAATAAAAGAAAATAAACCAAAGGGGGGTGTTGGGCCTGGAAGGGGGTGAAATTGGCATTTCTGAGGCCCAACAGGCGTTGGCCTGGGCTGACTTTGTTGCTTCCATGTGACAACGTTGACTGGGTGTATGGTGGATACTCAATCTAGACCATCAGATTTGGCCTAAGGGCCATCTGGCGCCTGGGATTTGGATGCACATGATGGACCACACTTTGGGCATTCCACAGAATTATCTGTAAATAAAATGCAAGAAATATGTGGGGGACCTGGGATTCGAACCCAGGTCCCATTGCTCATTGGCCAACGCATCAACCATTCCACCAACGCCTGCTAGTTGTTAGAATAATAAACAAACAATAATATATGTAAAAATAGCTACTATGCCTGAAAATAAAAAAAATATGGCGCGAGATTCGAATCAGCCAATAGGGAGAAGACACCTAGTCGTCTTCTTTGTTGAAAAAGCCTGGATATTTACCTGCGGATTTTATCCACAGCTAAATTCCTAGGTTCGTCCTAAAACGAGCTATAGGCTGTAAAAATGCAATCCAAGACTATCACCATGCTCGTCTCATCCTCTTGAACTCATCCATGTCCATGGTTTGTTCCAATTTTCCCTGCAAAGCAAATGCCCAAAAATGAAACTCCAAAACCCTAGATTTGGGTATGGCGCTATAGCTCACAAAAACAAAATCAAATGATGCAGAAAGTTTAGGAATTTAATGATAAGCATGATTATACCAACGTTTTGTCAAAAAAGATGCAAGAATAGGAGGTTGTAATTTCGTGTACAGGGCTATGTTCAGGACGACTTACAGTGCGTTTTATGTGGTTTCAAGGCTTTCTTTTGATTGCAATCTCTTCAGTGATCGTCAGGCAAGAAGATAGCGTTGAGATTTTGGGTTGAATTAGCCTCCAACCAAGATTTCGATCTCACACTTTTTCAAGATTTTTTCAAGTTTTGGTTTTCTGATTTTGCAGCTTTCAGGTCGTGTTCTTGTATGCTCTATGTTGTATATGCAACAAGGATTGTATTAGGTTAAATCTTGGGCTTGGAATCCTTGTGTATTGATGATTCAAGATTTGATATGATTCCTCCATTAAAGGCTTCCAATTTCTTTCCAAATCCAAGATTTTGTGCATGATATGGCTTGGCACGAATTTGATTGTGTTCATCATGTCAATTAAGACCTGTAATGATCAAAAAGATATCAAGTTATTAAGATTTGGATTTTATTTGGATTTAAATTGATTAAAAATGAATTAAATCAATAAAAATCAAATAAAATAGAAAAATTAATAATTGGTCATGAAATTGAAGATAGGACACGTGTGTGGTGTGAAAAAATCAAATCAAGTGGCAAAAAGTGGGCCCATTTGACAAAATTTGATGTTTTGGGGATAGTTGACTTTTGGCAATTTTGGAAAAATGTCCAACTTCAACAATGCATAAATTCTTCAATTTTGAACTTTTGAAGGTTTTCTTTGACTTTTTAGAAACCTTGAGATGTCTTCTAAGCAACCCTTTTGGTCTCATCGCATTTTGATATTCCATGTGCAAGTTATTAGCTTTGGCAAAAAAGGTGTTTTTGTTGACTTTAAAAATGACCTATAATGTCCAAATTCATATCTTCTTGTGAGTGCATTTCTTGATCTTGGGGTGTGAATATGGATTGTAGGAAATTGCATCCTCTTCAAAATGAGCTTTGATGGGTCATTTCTCATAAAGTATGAGAAAGTTATACTTGGTCAAAGTTGAGTTGACTTTTCCTGCAAAACCCTAATTTAGCAACTTTTGAATCTTGATGAATCTTGAGCGATCCTTGACGAATCATGATCAAACCTTGATCAAATGATGAATTATCCTTCAAAATGAGAATGTTGACAAAAAATATTGAGGTTTGATTGTATGTAGGCCACAATTGACTTTTGCCCTAGCACAATCGATTTTTGGACCTCTTGAGCAATTGACTGACCAAACTTTCTCTGCAAGGCTTGAAATTTGACATGGATGAACTTGAGAACATATTAGGACATTGGGGAGAATTTGAGGCCATTTGGATGTAAGGACCCTGATGCAACACAAAACCCTAATTTGAGGTTGACTGCCTTAGGAGATGATTTGACTGTCCAACTATTGAGCAATCTTGAACCATTTGGAGATTATTCTTGAAAGGTCTTGAGAAAATGGGAGGGCAAATTTTGGGGTACAACACCCCCCTTTAAAGCCCCATACCTTACTAGAGCCCCCAACAAGACCACAACTCAATTAAGTCCGCCTTTTGTCCTCCACTACGAAAAGACATGGAGACCTATTTCTCTCGTCAACTCCTTACCAAAGGTTACCTTCACGTCACTTCCTTGAACTCGCTTAAGGAAATCCCGAGCTCCAACACTCGAAAATAGTATCTATACAACATCAATACAATGGGGCCTACAAACCCCCACGACTATTAATAAAGCACAACTCTTTCCTCACATCTACCTAACCAATTTCGATTGAGCGCGTCAAAATGCAATATGGAGGCCTTTCATAATGAAAGGAAGATCATCCCTGGGGAAAGATATCGACAATTTTCTCAGGCAGTTAGTTATTTGTAATTAAGTAGGCAACTCTTCTCTTTGCCTTTCAGCCAACTAGTTCGCTTATCTCTCTCTGAGCGGAGATGGTTATACATGAAGTGTTGTGGCTTTGGTGGAAGGCTGGGAAGATCCTTGTTTGGGTTTGGTAGACTCTTAGTTTGGGACGATCTTTCCGATTTAGGAATTTACTCTAGAATACGGTCACTCGGGTAAGAACTTAAGGCATTGAAAGACGTGAACCAAATCATTTAAGCATCGCTTCGATTCTAGCAGAAGCGGGATGGCACTCTATTACGTAGATAGACAAAAGAGGGCCTAGCTGGCTTGACCCATAGAATAATGTTGAGTTAAGGAAAATAAGCCTTCCCAATTTCAATATTTTCTTGTCGATGTAGTCTTTTCTTCTCTGTCCTGCTCCCCGAAAAAGGGCAAAGCAAAAATTGAATAAAAAAGAAGAAAGCTGGTAGATTAAGGCTACCCTAGTGGCGTAGATTCCGTCCCTCCCAGTTCACAAATGTAGTTGTGTGTAGTTAACTTTTTTCTTCGAGATTGTCTTGGTGTGAAATGTACCGCTTGTGTAGCCTATTCGAATCGAACAAGCAAGGGATTGAGCTGCGCGAAAGCCGCGTTCGCACATTCGTTTTCTTGCTGGGTACAAGATCAGAAAGAATGCCCTTATGTCGAGATACAGGGTTTTTCGAGAAAATGTCCCATCCTTCAATATCATGATTGGGTCGACCAGGCGAGATCATGAGTGAATAGAAAATAAAAAACGTACATAGCTGTTCCAGTTGAAATACTTGGAATAATTCTATCACTTCTACTAGGAAGTGCCTTTTTAGTGCTAGCTAAACGTAAAGTAATGGCTTTTGTGCAACGTCGAAAGGGTCCTGATGTAGTGGGATCATTCGGATTGTTACAACCTCTAGCAGATGGTTTGAAATTGATTCTAAAAGAACCTATTTCACCAAGTAGTGCTAATTTCTCCCTTTTTAGAATGGCTCCAGTGGCCACATTTATGTTAAGTCTGGTCGCTCGGGCCGTTGTACCTTTTGATTATGGTATGGTATTGTCAGATTCGAACATAAGGCTACTTTATTTGTTTGCCATATCTTCGTTAGGTGTTTATGGAATTATTATATCAGGTTGGTCTAGTAATTAAGGGGCGACCATTCGGTCGCCTATGATACTAGGACCAATAGGTCAAAAATGGGTTTGTGCGGAAGGTGTTGAACGATATACTCTACATATGTGTGGGCTTACAGGGCTAGGGCTCATCAATCCTTTCTTTCATTCAAAAATAGGGCCCTGGTCAGTCACTTTTATGGGCCGGGATCGATAGATAAGTGGAAGTCATAAAAAAGAGATATTTCTCTTTGCACCTAAGATCAAAAGGAAGGGTAGCTTGTCAAGCTAGCCTATATAAAATATATTATTCATTATTATAGAATCTTTTACAAAAATATTTTTATAACGATTCACCGTCTTTTAACCGGCTGTTTGTCTTTGTCAACGCTACTAAGGACCTATGGGTTAGCCTACTAATGTATTGTATAGTAGGGTATAGTAGGCGAGAGAGTTAGAGAAGATGCTTAGGCTAATATATAAGAGAGCGTCAGTGTGTAGCCTTCATTCTACTACACTATGAAAAGGTTACGAAGTCACTTAGCTCGACGTTAGGATAGTCAAGGGGGAAGGCCATACCTACATAGAAGAACCGTTGTTCACTGACTTTCTAAGGTCTAACCTTTCACTCCCCTACTTAAAGGGGCACAAAGCCGACCGCTTTGCATCGTTGATAGACTACTTAAGATTCAATTCAAAAGGCCCTACTTAGTTTCGCAAGCCTTTGTCATTGTCAGTCAACTAAGTAGGGCATGAGGCCCCCTACTAATCCGTAAATCTTAGGAGCATGCCGCAACATAACAAAAGGATGGTCCCCTATGCATTTAATTAATTTCGGAAGGGAAAAAAAGTACCCCATCATGGTGAACCTCTCCTTGTGATCGGGATGAGGTAGATGCCTCCCAGCTGGGGGGCAGATCGAATCAGAGTTTCCTTAGGCAGCCACCGACCTACAGTTATCCTTAAACTTTCGTGCTTGGTGGAGAAGAAGAGAACAAAGGTAAGCTCGCTTGCTGTCTTGTTCTCTGCCGCGAACTGGGATCGCTCGCCAACTAGGTCAGATTGAAGCAAGAATTTTTGAGAACATATTACCCATATTCGGGGACAGGGGGCGGAACGACCTCTCGATCTGCTTACTGCAGCCCAGGAATAAAAACCTCGTCTAGGCGTTCCTTGTTTCTCCGACGCCTAGGACGTTGTCTGGGCAAAGAGCCATAGTTAATTGTTGTTTCCGTTTGGTTGTTTTTTTCTTGTTGTTGATACCGGAAAGACCACCCAGATGATGTCTACTGGTTGGTAGTGAGAGGACTCGTAGTACCTGTATACCTAAAAGAAAAGGAAGCGCTGATTAAAAAACAATAATTTGATTTTCTTACTCTCCCTTAGCAGCCAGCGGGAAAGGAGTCTATCTACTGCCTAGCTTTGGTAGATTTCCCCCAACGCAATCCATAGAAATTCCACAAATCCCTTGGTGGATAAGTCCGACGACTTAGCAGTAGTGCGGAATGGGGTTTATCGTCTGGTGGATCTGATCTTTAGGGGGAAATACATGCCAAAAGGTGCTTTAGTGATATTTGATGGTATGAACAAGGAACTCTATATGGGGATCCATCTTGTTGTTATTTGTATTGTTCACCTTGGTCTCCAATCTGGGTGGTTGTTCTGCGCTTTATATTTAAAGCAAGCAACTTCATCCTTGATGATGGACTATGGTGGTGATGAATTTGTTCATCCGGACAATGCGGTACCTGTTTATCTCGCTCGGTCTGGTTACCCTTGGGTCATTCCGTCTCATAATAGGTGTATGATTCTTAAGAAGGATGAGAAAGCGGACATGCTGGTGAAGTTTTATTTAAAAATATTATCTCTGTCAAAGATCATTACTTTGGCAAAGAAGGTTGATAAATCAATGTTTTCTAGTTGAAAGAATATCCCCACTCGAGTCGATGAAAGAGGAAGTAGAAAGATTTACACAGTAAGAGCGATTTAACTTTAGTTAAAAAAATAAAAATAAAGTCCGATCGGACCAAGACGGAAATATTCATACAAAGAGAGGATAAGAAGGGATAGCGCTTCAATCAGCATGGAATAAGGTAAGACCCAAAGCGTATAGTAGAAAATCCTTGAGTTAAGCATAAATAAGTACCCCAGAGGCTACGAGAAAGATCTGAGGGCGATCTCGCATTGCTGCCTCACAAAGCCCTTCTTGCTTTCTATACGCAATACTTCGTCTAGCCCCTCGTAGACAAGACAATTGCTAGCCTGAAAGTTGCTTGATACTAAGTCTATCTTCATTCCCATCCTGACATGCGGAGGCTTCCAGTGCATTGTAGCTAACCATATTGTGGCAAATCGATACATGTTTCTAAACAACTTACTATACCATACAAAGGCATATCCGGCTGTTATAGAATCCCCTGCTATTGAATATGAGTAACTATCCAATTCCATAATAGAAAGAGATGGGACTAGTTGGTTTTATTCCTTCACTTAAATTAAGGATCTTAGATCTTGCCACTGTGATATTTTCTCTTGTTTCAGAAGCTGGGATTGGGCCGACTTTCCTTTCTTAACCAAGCTCAAGGGAAGTTAGAAGTCAAATAAGCCTTGGTGCCTAGCGAAACCGAGTTATTCTTTCTTTTCTTGCTCGAAGGGTAACCGGATCTGAGTCAATTCGATCTTTTCAGCACTTTCAAATGATTATGTTTAACACCCTAACGATTCTGTGAAAGGGGATTCATATTACTGTTGAGCTGACTAAACTCAATTGTCGGTTAGTGGGTGCAGGTCAAACGAGGAAAGAAAGAAGAGTTCCAGTATAACCAGACAAAATATCACTGATCATCTAGGCACATAAACTCAACCAATTCTAGATGCAATCTAAATGCATTCTGGGATGAAGGAATAATCGATCTTCCCCACCTCGACTCTAACTCAACCAGTGGAACAACTCCCCGAAACAGCGAGAGAAGCTGGAAAAGCGGAACTCGGGGAGCCCTCAGAACCTCAACCGGTTTCGTTAAAAGACAAAGGAAAAGCACCTATCCGGGAGGAAGATGAGGCCGAGTAAGAAGAGAAGAGGAAGGTCAATCTATCTTCATTCACATGTTTTATTTTATCTATTTGACTCAAGAAGGAGGAGAAGACTTATGATGATAAATCCCTATCTTTAAGAACAATTATTTCACCTCCGCCTGGAATTTAACACCATTATAGGTTACCACGTGGTGCAGCACACTATATCTACATATTATATTTCTCTCTATGAACCGTGCCATTTTCTGTGTCCCCAGCTTGTTGAAGAACTCGACTTTTAGCCACTTCGAGAAAGAATCAATCGCTACCACAATGTACTTGTGCCCGTTAGAGGCTGCTGGCTTGATTTCCCTGATGATATCTATCCCCCATGCTGAGAACGGCCATGGTGAAGACAGAGTACGCAACGTTGATGGTGACAAGTGGCTCATATTACCATGTACTTGGCACTAATGGCAGATCTTGACAAACCTAATACAGTCGAATTCCATTGTTAACTAGAAAGACCCTGGTTTGATAATCTTATTAGCCAGGGAACTTCCTCGACAAGACATTAAATGTGCGGAGTTGCTGATCTATGAGTGACTAAGGTGGTCACCTGGGGAGTTGAGATGAAAAAAAAATTTACTTTAGTTTCGGCCCCTCTTGACTAATGGTCGGCTTGTGGTTGTCTTCCTACTTTTTCTTTCTCTATGATAATTCCTCTATAAAGATAGCTAATCGTTAATCCTTATTCTATGTCCAACACCACCGATACATACTTAGCAGCAGTGAGTAGATCGGCTTAGCTTTAATGAGGAGTGGGAAAATCAACATTGTCCACGTCCCTCAATCAAAGAAGTAGGCGGGGATAAAAAATATCTATACTTTAAACTGAATTAGGTTCCCTGCTCTAAATACTTGGAATCGTCTTTCCCGCGGTATTCAACGCGACAGGGATGAGATCCTTAGTAGCAGAAAAATAAATTAGGAACAGAAATTGCTAATCCAATTGGTTGATACAGTTCTTCCTATAAATAGATGGCGAGAATCTGTTCTTGGTAGTAGGGCAGTATTTCTTCAAGAAGGGCTTTCTCGATAGACATAAGCTCTTCCTTCCATTAGTAATCTGGGCTTGTAGTTGAATAGAGATTTCCTTGGTCTTCTTTGACCCCGGAATAGTTGATTCAGTTGTTCACTCATCTTTCTGTGCTTTTGCTTTCCCTTGTTCAAATGGTAGGGCATGGTTAAGCTTTTAGTAGGCATAGAGTAGAATAAATTTATCGATTGAGATAACATTTCCACCAGATGCCAGAAAGAGGAAGACAGAAGCAGGAGTCCCCCAAGATTCCCTGGTGGGGCATCCAGGACATACCAAGGCAAAATGTGAGTTCATCGCCGAATTCGGAGTAGTTCAAATCAAAGAGTTCAAGATATGCCTCGGGGTCAAGGGGTCTTGGTCATGCAGTAGCTTTTATGTGCGGTTGTTATTGAAAGCCTTCCCCGAAGCATCTAAACATTGAATATTCAAACACAAGTTCCATTCAAATCTCGTACAAACAACTGTTTAAGCTATTAGGCCCGTAACACAAATGTCCCACTTGAAAGCTTCAACCCCCAAAATATGCTTATCATTTCGATATGACAAAGCGACCTGGCCACAAGACTGTTCATGCACTAGGTGATCTATCAAGGTCGGGGATGATGAGTAAGCACATTTATTTGGGAGCACTGGATGGCTATAACCAAAAATGCCATTTCATCATGATTAGGAAGAGGAAACTCCATTATAAAATGGTTTGATCAACTAGTCACTCAAAATCCAGCAAACGAGCAAAACGAGAACCAGACAAAATCTTCTTAGAAGAGGTCTCTTTTTTTGTGCCACCTTGCACTGAAGGACCATGTCCAGCCTGGTTCTGGGCACAAGGTTGCACCTCATCAACTGTCTGCACTAATTCCTTCTCCCCTCTATTCCTTCTGCAATTAATCTGCTTTCAGTGCCTAGTTCCAGTTGCTTTCTCCTCGCTAGAAGAGCCACAAGGTCTTTTTTACCATAAATCTAGAGGGAATTGTCTGACTTCATTTAATGTTAGTAGTGGGAATGGGGAGGCAGTATGTCCTGAATTGGAAATAGGCTACTATAAATAGATTGATCGGTTGATGACGATAAAGTCAAAATATATGGGCCCAATCGGGCCA